ACTTATGGAGACCGATGGGTTGGTCGAAACGGACCTGTTAAATGGCCACCACGATCTCCGGATTTAACGCCATTTGATTATTTTGTGTGGGGCTGAATGAAGTCTATGGTTTATTCTGCGGCAGTTGGAACGCAAGAAGGGCTAAGAAATCGGATCGCGGAAGCCGCATGAACTATCAAGCACCATCCTGATGCTATACTCTGTAATAATAACAAATAATAAATCTTTAACCTTTGATATCTGTTTAATAAATTTGTTTGAGATATATATTAATGTGAACTTTTTTGTTTATTTTGTGTTAGTGAACACATACCTAAAATAGTGCCGTGCAATTACGAAACACGCTGTATATATAAAAGTTTATATTGTAAATGCATTGAGACGCATCATGATCCTGGATCATAAAAGAAAATTGTGCTTACGATTGAAAATTTCATAGCATGTTAAATTCTTTCACAGATTAATATAATTTCGATATTTTTCCAGGTTCCAGTAGACATTCTCGAAAAAAGCTCCCATCCCGACAACCTTCATAAAGGATTTGAATTTCCATGAATTTCCAAATGCCATATTCTACGAATACGATTGCTACTTTTAAAAGCATTTAGGAGATATCGAGGATTAAACGACAACAAAGAACTTTGTATGGCTAAAATTAGAACATTAAATTATTGGAACGTTGGATTCGTATCGAGTGGATGCAACAGCATCTGTATTTGATTTATTTTAATTAACCGATAAGAGGAGGACGTTTAATATTGCATTTCACATTTAATTCAGTGTAATGTTACCGTTAAACTGCTAAATTAGAAAAGAAGTTATTTGCGTGTCCAGAATTTCCAGGATCTCCAAAATAAAAAAAAACACAGGTAAAAAACTATTAAGTACGTAAAAAACACTTTAGGTTGTCCTTTGATTGAAAAATAAAATGATTAGTATACAGATTTTTATTTTTGTATTTATTTTACAGATCTTCGGTAGCAACAAAAGGTTTCTCAAAAGTACTTTTCAAATTTTCTATTCGTTTCTGAGTTGCCCGAGAGAAGAAAGTTACTAATTTTTGTCCATTTGATATGCGGCCACTCAATTTCTTCAAGAAATTATAGTGTCAAAGGCCCATCCACTGCCCAATGGACAAAGATTAGTAATTGTCTTTGCTCGGCCGTCTCTGAGACACATAGACAGTTTGAAAACTGCGTATGAGAAGGCTGGTTCATGCGACCAAAAACAAAAAAGGTATGTAACGCAAATATAAAAAAAAAAATCAAAAATTTGTATAATAATAATGATTTGTTATCTGTAAGCTTTAGCTTTAGCTCCGTTTAAAAAACACTTCAAAAATTTTATAATAGCCCAACATTGCGAGAAAATAATTTCTATTCAAAGTAGAGGGGTAAGTGAAAGTTGTGTGTTGCGCGCACCATATTATTAATTAGCATCTTTATTCAATTTATTTGAATAAACATATAATTAAAAATATGGTTGAAAAATACATATAATAATAATGCCTAGATACAAAAATTTTTCTGAACTAGGGAATATTGCCTAGAATACGATACTCATAGATTACTATTGTCCGTACTATATATATATATATATATATATATATATATATATATATATATATATATATATATATATATATATCATCTGGAGCCAATCATATGAAGAGCAATATCTAGCAGTACTTGACCTAACAATATTGGCAAATCATATATATATATATATATAAATATATATATATATATATATATATAATGATTTGTTATCTGTAAGCTTTAGCTTTAGCTCCGTTTAAAATACACTTCAAAAATTTTATAATAGCACAACATTGCGAGAAAATAATTTTTATTCAAAGTAGAGGGGTGAGTGAAAGTTGTGTGTTGCGCGCACCATATTTTTAATTAGCATGTTTATTCAAATTAATGTTGTCTTCTTATATTAGTCGTTAAAAACATCGTTTCCTTCTCAACGTTCTCTCAATGTCTCAGTTAACTCGTTTTTTGCAAACTAGAATTTTTTTTTTTCATTTTTGATCTAAATAACCTTGTAATTTAATTTGTTGTCAATTATTCCAAATGCCAGACTATTGTCGTCAAATTGTTCATTGTAGTTATTCTAAAGGGACTTAGTCCCAGAATAAAATTTATATACAGTTCGTAAGTGTATACAATATATAGTAATGGAACTAGTACTGAGCCCTAGCTAACTGAGAAAAATCTATCGAAAAGGATTGGTTGAAGAATCAAGTCGTGTGCGGTAGTATGGACTTGAGTTTAAAGAGAAGACCCTGGTGCCTTATTCTGTCGAACGGCAGAGAGACATAAAAAAATACACCAGTCGTCATGATTAGATTCATAATTTTTTGGCTTTTGTCACATTGGATCCGTAATCGACTATCATTGATTTGAGAATGTTTTTAAAATATAAAGACAGTACATTGGATGTTTTCCCACTAAATATAGATATCTGAACATATTTAGATATACTTCCTGAATAGTTGAAAAATACATATAATAATAATGCATAGATTCAACAATTTTGCTGAACTAGAGAATATTGCCTAGAATACGATACTCATAGATTATTATTGTTCGTACTATATATATCATCCGGAGCCAATCATATGAAGAGCAATATCTAGCAGTACTTGACCTACCAATATAGGCAAATCATACCATCTCCGACAATAGGCCTGGCATTCCAATAATAGACATAGGAATATGCATTTATCATAGAGATAGGAATTCTGTCAGATGATAACATGCATACGGAGGAATAGAAGAAATGTTTATAATTAACTGAATAGCAGACGCAATCGACCGATTTAGAGACAAAACCTAATTCTTCTGATTGTGATCTCATATAACTGGCTGATACCAAAGTAATCTCAATCTTGTTAGTAGCAAATAGACATATCGCTTTTGACACAAAAAAAAAAAAAAAAAAAAAAAAAAAAAAAAAAAAAAAAAAAAAATGGAAAATACACCATTATTGGGGTGTATACTTTTTGAGTAATTCGGAATCTAATTTTACCATCCTTTTTTTTGCAGCTTCTTTTCGTTGAATTATGTTATATAGATAAATTTAAAGGACATCGAGAAGAAGACTTAGGGCAAGTTTCATTGAAATCGTTACATTTGTTAAGGCGCTACATGCAGGTTTCTCGGCAGCCATTTTGAAAGTAAAAGGCGGATAGTAATGTCGATGAAGTAGGATCATCCTCGGGTGACCTCTGATTTTAAATCTAAATTTGAAAAAAATATCGGTCTAGTAGTTTCGGAGAAAATGCACGGATGGCGGACGGACAAATAAAAAAGTTATTTGTTTTTCGAATTTTACGTATCCTGAAACGTAAAAGCTCAAAATTTCAAAGGGGATTAAGTTTTTGAATGTTTTGTTCGATTACAATGGTTCATTATTGAAAAAGGAAAATATACCATTGTTAACAAAAAAATTACTTATATCCTTTTAATAATGTTTTATAGTTCAAAAGTAAAACGCCTAAAGCAATAAAAGTACAAAAATTCTATTTATTATATCGACGGAATGCAATAAAAATCTAGTTTTATGAACCACATAACTTCAGTCCCTGAGCCTTTCAGTTGACAGAATGATTAACTGTACAGAATGAAATAATTACTGAACGTAATTTTAGATTGTTCCTTTATTTACATACTATGATATTGAACGTTTTTGGCATTTATAGATAACCAAAATATCTGATAGGTTATGCATTGCCCTATGGTCCGTAATAATCCTATATATTATTTCTAAAAGATGTTTTTTTGTCAGTACGCCATAACTTCGATTCTTCATCAAATCAAATGATTGACCACTCATTTGAAGATATTCTTCTCCTTCACATGCGAAAAATAGTCCTAAACCTCCGAAATTTCTGGGGAAAAAGTTATGGAGGAAAAAAAAAAGCGAATAACTTAAAAAGTAAGCATTTTTTCTTGATTATACCCATGATAATTAGAAAGGTTACTATATCACCTATAAAAAAAAAATTTTTTTGAAAATCAAACAATTAATCACAAAGATATAGTCCATTAGTTTTGGTATACATAATAGTGTCTTCCTGTTTAAAGATATTGCATTTAGGCGTAGAATAGCCTATTACACTTCCTGGCTGAAATATTAATTTTATTATTTCTTAAAGACATTTGTTTGTTCTTACATTTTATTTTTTTTTAATAATTTAGAAAATCCTATTATCCAGGAATTATTTTACCTTTATTACTTTTATTACGGAGCGGGGTGGCTCAGTGGTAGGACACTGAGCTTCCAATGCAAAGGTCCCGAGTTCGAACCCCGGCTCATGACAGATAATTTATTTTTCTGTTTCATTGGCCGTGGAGCGACCTTGGATCAGGAGCCCCTCCTGAGGCACACCCAACCTCTATAAAGTGGGTACCCTTAATTAAATAATTGATTAAGGGGGAAAACCTGGCGGTTGAGCGTGATCTCGGTCAAATCACCTCCTTGCACAACCGTTGACCTAGAAACAGTGCTTTCCCTAAATAGTACTGAACCCCAGACCCTTCATGGGTTGTAGTGGTACAGGTTTATTACTTTTATTATCTTCCAGTCAGTGTTTAAAAATAGGTCCTAGCAAAGCAATTTGAACAAATATTTTGGTCTTCTATGTTTAATGGAATATTATAATCAAATAAGGAAAAAATATTGATTTCTTCCTTACATAATATATACGAACTACTTATTTCCATATTGTTTTGCTATTTTTTCAATTGAAAAATTTTTCTGCGAATTATTCGCACGGGCTAAATAGTTTTATCATACTATTAATTTTTATACAATTATTATTGTTGTCTTTGTTAAGATACAAATATGATTATAAAGCAGAAGTTTTTTATTTTTATTAAAATTAATTTTATAACTAAATTATATGAATATTGTTCTTTAGTATTGAACGTTTCGTTGAATACCCAAGGTAATTCCTCACAAAGACGATAGATCGCGGTGACAGATGAAAGATGCCGATCTTCCAGCCTGGAGGAACTCTTGGACAAGTTGTCCACTTCACGTCAGCCAACAGAAATACCAACCCCCTTTCTCCAGACTCCAGGCGATATATCAAATATCCTGGAACCGAGGACCATCCCACGGCAGCTCCATCACTGTCAGAGGATGGAGTTGTGCTCCAGGGAACGATCTGTCACTGGAGTCTCCCCATCTCCTATCTTTATCAAGGATAAGTTTTTGTTAACTTGTCCGATAACAGAGGATTATCAAATAATAATTTTTCACTTCACCTAAATGCTATTATAAAAGACTTGAATACTGCGAATTTTTTTTTCTTAAAGACATTTACAACTGTATTAAATAAATACATCTAGTAAATTTGAACATAATGTATATAATGACATGAAAAACACTTGCTGAGTAACTACCCATTGGTAGCACTCTAATGATATGTCTATATTAGGAGATCACGGGGCCATCTTCTTTTCAGACGCCTCGGAGGGTTATCAGGAATTGAAGAGAAAGCAAGGTTGGAAACGAGAGGGTTGGGATGATTCTGAATTTTATTATGGAAGGATAGGTATCTGGATTGGGCCATAGTCAAGTATATGAGTCTTTTGTAATTAATTGGAAGTTTAGAGCGTTTGTCTAGTAAGTATTGAAGTAATCGGAAACGTCGAGCGGTTTCTTGTCGTTTCAGTCTAGTATGAGGATTCCAAGTTATTCGTTTGTCCAGGTAGAGTCTTAGGTATCGGATTTGCTCAACAGGGATAAGTGGAGTATTGTTAAAGGAAACTGTAGGACAGGAAGTCGTTGGTTTACGAACTGCGAAATTAAATCAAAATTTAAATTGACAATAGGAATATTGAAGAGGATATTAAGATTAGGCTAAAGGCGGAAAATGCTTGTTATTTTTCTTTGTCAAAATTACTACAAATTAAGTTCTCGCCTCCTTTCCCGAAACTTAAAAATTAGAATTTACAAAACGATTATCCTACCTACAGTTCTTTATGGATGCGAAACGTGGCCGCTTACATTAAGGGATGAACAACGGTTTAAAGTTTTTGAAAATGAAATATTGCGCAGAATATTCGGACCGAAAAAGGACGAGTCAACCGGAGAATACAGGCGGTTACACAACGCTGAATTGCGTGAATGGTATCCGGTTAATATAATTGAGGCGAATAAAATCGCTGGACTTAGTAACGAAAGAATTCCTAAAAAGTTAATATGCGCTGTACGGACTAGCAAGCGTCCGAGAGGAAGACCAAAGCGAGGGTGGGTAGATTGCGTTAAGGCTGATTTGGAGGGGTTGGGTTTAGACGGAGTCCGGTGGATGGAAGAATGTGGACATCGATTGGTGGTATCGGTATCGAGCCTTCGGGTTCGCTAAGCCTTATTATTATTATTATTAATAGAAATATTGTAAAAAAAAAGGTCTTAAACCTAACGATTCGTTTTTCGAAAGGGAATCCCAATCGATTTTTATTGGAAATTAGATGAGTATCGATTTCTATGAAAACATCCAATGAAGCCGATGAAGCAATTATTTTCTTTAAATTAACTTAAATGTTAAAAAAACAGTGGGAATTTTTTTTTCCCCGAGACCGACCATTTTATCCAGGAATGTAATCAAACTTGATTTTCGTAAATATTCTTTTTTTTTTTTTTTATAATAAAACAAAGTTCTAACATCAAATTAAATATGCGATCGGCGAATTGTGTGCAGTAAGGAAATTTTGTTGGAAACAAAAAAAAAACCCTGCAGACTATTTCAGATTGGTTTATTTTTTCCAAACAATTATACATCTAAAGTAACTTTATCTTCATAGTTACAAAGAAAAATAAATAAAAGGTGATTCCAATTATTGGTTGGTTTGAAGTATAACTTCAGTAACACATTCAAAATTTAAAAACCAAAGAAAGGATATAGCATTTGGAGTAGAACATATAAAAAACAAAACTGGAGACCACATCTTTGCTCCTAATTGTTAGGAAATTCCTTAAACTTAAAAAAAAAACACAAAAGTGTATACTTTTTGAGTTACTCGGAATTAAATTTTACTATCCCACTATTTTTCCAGCTTCTTTTCGTTGAAGTATATTATATAGATAAATTTAAAGGGCATCCAGACAATGACTTTAGTGAGGTTTCATTGAAATCGGTACATTCGTTTAGGAGCTACAGTCTACAACAACGCAGGTTTTCGGCCGTCATTTTGAAAGTAAAAGGCGGATAATAATGTCGATGTAGGAGGATCATCCTAGAGTGACCTCTGATTTTAAATCCGAATTTGTAAAAATCGGTCCAGTAGTTTCGGAGCAAATGCGCGTACGGCGGACAGGCAAACAAATTTGTATTCGTTTTTCGAATTTTACGCATCCTGAAACGTGGAAAGTTAAATTTTGAGAGGGGGTTAAATTTTTCAATTTTTCGGTCAATCACAATGATTGATTATTGATTTTTTTTATTATCTTTAACTGTTTTTTCATCGTATTGACAACCAGCAGACGTGTTGTTGGCATAATGAGGTTGGTATTATAGGCAAGAGGAAGGATAGTACCTAGAAGTACCTCTACCTGGTCATTACTTTGATTTAGGCGAGGAGATCTATCATCCAGCTCCTTTTTAGTCTCCTCCTGATGGGCATGTCAGTCGTAGCCATTTCGTTTATTTATAAGTCTGTTTGTGTGTCCGTGTAGTTTGGTATGAAAACGAGAGTAGAGAGTATGTATGTGTTGGTCGATAGTTGGTTGTCGTAAGTCGTTATGTAAAGTTTTGTTGTTGACGTACCAGGGAGCTCCTGATATAAGTAGTAAAATTTTGGATTGAAATGACTGTAGTTTTTGTAAGTGCGTCTTTTTTGTCGAACCGTAAATCTGAGAGGCATATGTCCAGATGGGTTTGAGTAGGTAAGTGCATGTATTTAGTTTTTGTCGAACTTTCAATTTCGATTTAGAAAAAAGTGAGTACAGTATTTTCAGTCGCTTGTTTAAGGTCTATCATTTCATTTTGACGTGTAGGCCCCAGGTCATCCTTCTGTCGAATATTAGTCCCAGTTAACATACTGTGTTTGTCTGAGGAATTTGGTTCTCTCTAAAAAAGGCTAAAAAATGTGGATTTTTGTTGGACGGAATTTCGAAAGCATTTTGCATCTTGAGCTTGTACCTAATTGGCACAAAATTTTACTAGACAGAGTTTGTGAAGTCTTAAATGCAAAGTAACGTAAAACAGTAAAACCAAGTCATTTTACAATACGACTAACCCAAAGACATCGTTCTCGTTTGACCAAGAAAAAAAGTATCGGAGCTGCAGGCTGTAAACGATATATATCAACCTAGTTGTAGCCTAGATATTGCATAGATTATTACTTGTTTAGATCAATGGCCAACCAAGGTGTCTTTTTATTACAAAATATCTAAAAATCAAATAGGTTTAAAATTTGTTTTGCGTGTAAAATTATTCTTCAAATCGATTATTAATTTATTTCATCTTCCTCTTTATTGCACTTGTTATTAACACGAAATTGAACTTTTGGCTCATGCCGAAGATATCGGAAACCTTCTCCAAGAACAACTTGACCGACCACTGGAAGAAACGAGAGATATAGCGGCTTCGACCTGGAACCGATCCTCTCCAGATAATGGCAGCTGGAAAGCTGATCCGGAGTAAACACTCCAGACCTAACTCCTACTCCATTCCACCCTCGTCGATCGCTATTGCGGTCAAGGATTTATCCTTCTTGAGGTTCTGAAGGTAAAATAAAAATATATCAATGTGGATCAAATTTATCCAATAATCTACCGTCCGTATCTAGTGATCCATTCATTATACAACGGAATTAAAAATAGTGTATTTTCAAATAAAATGTAAATATTGGTAATAGAATTTGAACTAAACCATGTTGTTAATAATAGCTAGAAAATTTAAGTTATGTGCTTTTTACTTTCACTTATGTATATGTGTAATATATAGTACGGATAAGTATTGCGATCGTGAAAATTTTCGAATCTCAGTTTTCAACGGAAATACATGTTTTGAGGTCCCCTGAGTAAAAATAACCAAGTGTCGCAAAATGGTCTGTGTGTCTGTTAACAGTCTAGCTCATAAACGAAAAGAAGTACAAAACTGATATTGACTATTTACGGTTTGTATATAGGCCGGATGTGACAGCAACTTTTTTTGCTAAAATCGGCGAACCAAAAGTGCTACTTTATATGGACGCTGAAACACATTTTTACAATTTTCTCAAAAACGGCTTTAGCGATTTTTATTAAACTCGGTGTATCATTGTATAATTAAGTGGTTAAATGCCCAATGTTCATATATGTCTTCGTTTAAAGTACCTTAAATAAGGTTTATTTTAAAAAGTTAATCATTCCGCATTATTCAGCGTTATAAACAAATGTTACATATAACTTTTGAAAGAATTTGATAAGTTAACAAAGGAGAAAAAAAATAAAAATACAGAAAAACCTGCGTTGCTATAGACTGTAGCGCCTAAACGAATGTATCGATTTCAATGAAATTTCGCTAAAGTTATTATCTCAACACCATTTAAATTTATCTATATAACATACTTCAACGAAAAGAAGCTGGCAAAAAAGTTACGAGGGATGGTAAAATTAAATTATTAATAACACAAAAAGTATACGTTTTTTTTAAATGTTTACAGAATTTCATAAAAAAATCGTTAAAATCGGACAATTAGGAGGAAAGATGTGGCCTCTAGTTTTTTCATGAAGATGCGAAAATTTGGATAAATTTAAAATATACTTTTTTCATTGTTGAGACTAAAAAAATCTTTTTTTATTTTTATTTTTTTTATTCATACGCAATAACTGAAAAACCTGTTTTTCGATAGACTGTAGCGCAAAGACGGCTCTAACGATTTTGATGAAACTTTCCTATAATGTTCTAATAATTGTCCTCAATTTTCGTATATGGACAAAATTCCCCAAAAATTCAGGAAAAAAAGTTATAAAGAAAGAAGAAAGATTATTAGCGAAGTTACAGCTATTCAATTTGCAATGTAAGATTACGGGTTCATATCCTGGGGTCAGAAATGGGTGAATAAGAGAATAAAGATGACTTAGGGAAAGTAAAAAAATCTGTGGCCCGCATCACACCTCTACTTTTAACAGAAATAAGTGTTTGACAATATTAAGCTATGGCAAAGTTTTTTATCAGCAATATTAGAGAGCATTGAAATTTTTACACTGATCTACCTTA